AAGAAGAAGAAGAAGAAGAAGAAGAAGAAGAAGAAGAAGAAGAAGAACTCGCTGGCTTGATAACATCAAATCCGATGCAAAGTTGAACATCCAACAACTGAAAGAAGGCGTGATTGACAGGGGAACATGGCGACCACTTGCCTATAAAGTCTCCAAGAGTCACACATGACTAAATGCTTTAAAAGAGCAACAAATGGGCACGAAAGGAAAACAAACAAACACAAAGTTCATTTTTCTTTTATTTTTCTTTGCCTGTGTAGCCGGTGGAATGTTTTTTTGTTTTTTTTAAAGATCCGGGCTGAAAAGCAGATAAAATTGTATCTACATCCACTGGCCGGAAACGTTACAGTTCGAAAACATCGACTTTGCAAAACATTTTATGTTTCAATCCTACTCTGGGCTTTTGAGTTGGCTAGCAAAGCAACTACGAGTCCTACTACCCGTTTAGCGACTGTTTGGAGTTATAATGGCACTGGGGGAAAAATGACAGAAGGACAAGAGTTTGGAAGGGACCCTGGAGGTCTTCTAGTCTGACCCCCTGCTCAAGCAAGAGATCCTATCGCATTTTAGGCAAATGGCTGTCCAGTCTCTTATGACTGGTCCTCGTACCTACGACCATCACGTGATCACTATTCGTATAAATATACGGCGTATATTTATGATCCTGTTTGAGAACTTTGCATCCTGCTCTGAACAAGCAAAGCCAATGGAGGAAGGTGGATTCACTTCAGGATTCAATTAACAACTGCAATTGGTTCACTTAACAACCACGCCACCCAAAAAGGTAAAATCAGGTGCGACTCATTTAATGACTGCCCTGCTTAGCAATGGGAATTCTGAAGTGGTCATATGTTGAGGACTTCCTGAATTATCAGACAAGCTGGGCAGTAAATCGTAATTTAATCATAATGTATGTGAATCACTCTGTGTAGTTGCTTAATTGCTCACTAGAGAAGAAATAAATACAGGTATTCCTCAACTTATGATCACAACTGAGCCCGGAATCAGTGTGGGTAAAGTGAGAAATTTGTTACGTGAGTTTTTCCCTATTGTATGACCTTTCTGGCCCTGGTCATTAAGTGAACCATTGCAGTTATTAGGTTAGTAACACGGTTGCTAAGAAAATCTGGCTTCCCCATTGATTTGCTTGTAAAAAGGTCACAAAGGGGGATCAGGGGACACTGCAACCGTCATAAGTACGAGTCAGTTGCTGAGGGTCCGAATTTTGATCACATGGTCGCGGGGAATGCTGCAATGGTCATAAGTGTGAAAAATGGTCGTAAGTCACTTTTTTCAGTGCCATTGTAAAAGCGAACAGCGATTGTAAGTCAAGAACTATCGGTATTCTACTGAGCTATCATTAGTTGATAGATCAATCGTGGTTAACCAGAACAGGGTGTCAACTCATAAAATATTTCTCTGGTTTTTTTAGGGTTGCTAACAGAAAGGGAGGGGGGAGCAGTGCAGCCGTTTGCAAACCAAAAGTGCATTCCAGAAATGTCTTCAAAGATAGTAACTAGGTGACTGAAGTTTCTGCCCCGCAAAATTCTAACTGGAGAGCAGGATTGATGACTCTGGGCTATGGATGTGTCCCATTGGAGAATAGGAATTACGATACACCCAGAGGGGGTGGGGGAAAACCAGGGTCAAGGGTGACCATGAATGATGTGTCTCAGAGTCGGCTACACCCAGACAGTGCCGGACGTGTTAACTCCCAATAAATCCTTTTGAAGCTTTGGAAGTTTGGCTCGAGACTCATGATTTAAATGGGGGTACTTGCCGGAATCCTGACACAGGGATGTGTGAACTCTGCTAACCTATAGTTTGTTCCTGTGTTGATAACCTGTGTTCGATAACCCGTTCATTAGCAGTTCTCTTCGGAGGAAATCTTGGCTCCAGGAAGGATGATTGACGAAGCCGTTGATCTCTTTTGATGTCTCCATTTGGCTCGGCGGTTTTTAAACCAAACCTGTGTGATGACAACAGAAGGAGGACGTTAGTGTGTGTGTGTGTCTGTGTCTGTGTTTTTGTGTTTTGTGTGTGTGTGTGTGTGTGTGTGTGTGTCTGTGATAAAGAAAGTATTAGAGTGCGCTGAGATGGATAGACTGACAATGGAAATAAAAAGATGGAGGAGGAACAGAAATACTATTTGATTTGGAATGCATGGTACAATTGGTTAAATAGTAGACATAAAGATAAAGAAAGAATATGAAATGTTGCAGTAGGATAATAAAATGTAAAATATGCATTATAAAAGGTAAAAGGGCAAAATATTCAGAGTAAGAAATACATATTGTACATATTTTAGTGGAATAACATATATAAAGGAATGTGTGTGTGTGTGTATATAGATAAAGATAGATAGATATAGATATAGATATATAGGTATAGATATATATAAAATAAAATACAATGTATGGAAACCATATGTATACCAATACTGAAATGTTGCAAAAAATGAAAATTGTCTTGTAAAATGAAGAAAATTGTTCAAAATAGGACATTATATCATCCACCATGAAAAACATGAGTGCTATTGCTCTCTCTCTCTCTCTCTCTCTCTCTCTCTGTGTGTGTGTGTGTGTGTGTGTCTGTATCTCTGTCTCTCTGTGTCTCTCTCCCCCCCTCTGTCTAGTCTATTGATCTATCAGAATGCTGTATTGCAGGCTAAATCTGCCCACACACCACCAGTTCAATCCTGACCACTCAAGATTTACTCAGCCTTCCATCCTTCCAAGGTCAGTAAAATGAGAAGCCAGATTGTTGGAGGCAAGATGCTGACTCTGTAAACCGCTTAGAGAGGGCTGGAAAGCACTGTGAAGCGGTATATAAATGCTATCGCTAATGCTAGTTAAGCACGAAAGCTGACGGACTTTGGGCAAGTCACTCTCTCTCTCTCTCTGTCTCTCTCTCAGCCTAACCCACCTCATGGGGTGGTTGTTGTGCAGAAAATAGGAGGAAGCCCTTGACCTGATCTCCTGGAAGGATTGTGAACCCCCCTGCACCCTCAATCTCCTACAGTCCTTCTCTTTGTCACCTGTTCATCCCGCCCACCCCACCCCGAAAGTTACCTCAACTCTCTCTTCCTTCAGGTGGATCTGGCTGGCTAGGTGTTCTCGGGTGATCACGTCTGGATATTGGTTCTTATGGAAAAGGGTCTCCAAGGCCTGGAGCTGATCCTCCGTGAAGATAGTCCGATGTCGCCTAGTCCGTCGCTGGATCTGCTGGAAGCCTTGCAGCTCGCTGGGGCTGCCGCGGTGATTCCTGCAGGGCCCGGCCAGTGGGTAGAAGAGCTTCATGGGCCACACGTACCTGGTGTCCCCTAGAAGAAAGCACAATCTGTTGGGTTGGTCTCCAGAGATGCCGTGAACCAAGTCCGTTGGTCTCTGGGCGTGGGGAGATAGGGCCCTCCGCTTATCTGTGGGGAGTGGTCTTCGCCCCAGCTCTGCCTTATCTTGGAGTGGTGCGGTAGCCTAGCAGTGGAGCTCTCACCTCGTAATCAGGAGGCTGTGAGTTCGATCCTAGGTAGAGGCAGATATTTCTCTCTCTGGGCACAATGAGAATAGATCTGCTGAACAAGACTCTGCATTGGTGACAGGAAGGGCATTCGGCCAGTAAAACACTCAGCTCCATTCGGTTGCACAGACTCCATCCCAATGCAAGGGATTAATGAGGTCGTTAAATGAAGATGATGATGGTATGGAGGGTAGTCTTGGAGTGGTGCGGGTGGCCTACCGGTAGAGCTCTCGCCTCGTAACCAGGAGGCTGTGAGTTCGATCCTAGGTAGAGGCATATATTTCTCTCTCTGGACACGCTGGGAATATATAGGACTGCAACCGTCATAACTATGGATCCATTGCCAAGCGGCCAAATTCTGATCACGTGACTATTTGAGAGGCTGCAAGGGCCATAACTTGTGGAAAAACGGTCATCGGTCACTATTTTCAGTCCCATAGTAACTTCGAGCAGTCGCTCAACGGATGGTTGTAGGTTGAGAGCTACCTGGACTACGTCTGAAATACGACCATTTTCCAGAACAGGCTACAGATGGGTGCCAAGGGATGAAACATGGAAACAACTCTTTCGTTTCCCCTTCACACACAAACACACCTTGGAAGAATAACAGTAAAGCCTATTTATTACACACACACACATTCTCTCTCACACACACACATATACACACACATATCAAAAAAAACCAAGGAAATTTGCTTGAATGAACTAAGGAAACAGAAACACACACCTCGAAAGAATAACAGTAAAGTCTGTTGATATATATATATATATCTCCCTCCCTCCTTCCCTCTCTCTCTCTCTCTCTCTCTCTCTCTCACACACACACACACACACACACACACACACACACACATCAAAAAACCCCAAGGAAATTTGCTTGAATGAACTAAGGAAACAAACACACACCTCGAAAGAATAACAGTAAAGTCTCTCTCTCTCTCTCTCTCTCTCTCTCTCTCTCTCTCCCTCCCTCTCCCTCTCCCTCTCCCTCTCCCTCTCCCTCTCCCTCTCCCTCTCCCCCTCTCTCTCTCACACACACACACAAAGAAAAGAAAAAACCCAAGGAAATTCACTTGAAAGAACTAAAGAAAACAAGACCTCCTTGGACAAAAAAACTTTTATGAAACTCCAAGACTGATTTTTGACCTCGGGGATGGGGGCGTCCTGATTCTCCAATAAAGTTCACCTGGAGGGAGTTGGCCCCCAATAGCAGCCCCCTCCCCCACCCTCACAGCCCCCCACCCCACTCCCCGAGTCTTTTGCACCCCGCTACTCCAACCGAAATCCTCACCCAGCCAATTTGCGCTGTCTTGCCACGTGCGAAGGCTCTCCTTGGAACAACAGCAACAGCCGCACGACGACCCCACTCTTTCCGCTACTTCCTCTGTTTCCTCCTCCTCGGTGGGCAGATTCCCCCAAAAGCACAAGGTTTTGGGGTCCTGCTGCTCCCAAATACCTCGGAAGCAGAAGGGGAAGAGGACGGGGGCTCGGCTCTCCACCGAGCTGGACAGGATGCTCTCAATGGTGAAGGCATAGGGCTTCTTCTGGTGGTTCTTCTCCAGTTCAGCCACCGAAGGAGCTTCTGTTGACATCCTTCTCTCTGTTGGATCTCAGCTACATCTGAGGGACCAAAGGAGATAAATACGGCTTCTGCTTTATCACCAGTTGGAAGATTTGCCCCCCCAAAATGGAAAGGGGAGACCAGGCGTAAATGTTCATTGGAAGGGGAACATACCTTCTGCTCAGTGGACAACTCTTTGAAGAGTTTCAACCATCCCTTCCTCACCGCCGTCTCTCCGTAATCTAGTTTAGTTGCTTTATAAAAGCATCGTAAATATACAAAGACACACACACACACACACACACACACACACTCGCTCACGGTCCTTAATCCTCCTTGGAAAATAACCACCAGCCCTGAAAAGCTGGAATAAAATACATTCAAGCTAATCTTGACAGCTTTGTGAAGGGTTAGTGTGGATCTCAGATTTAGCTAATCCTGCAGGAATGACTGGGTGGAAATCTGATTTCTCAATCTCAACGGTAGGATGAAGTTGGTTTTTATGATGTCCATTGTATGGCAAAGCTTGTCTCTCTCTCTTTTTGGGGGGGGGAGGTAAGGAGAGGGGAGGGAAAAGCTGTTTCTCAGGCCCCAGAAATGGCCCGGGAGGATTAGCGCCTTGGAAAAAGAAGAAAAGAAGAAGAAGAAAAAGAGGAAAGCAAATTATTTCTTTTTTTTCTTTGACCGTAGGAAAGGCTTCTTGTCAAAAGGCACAATATAAGGACAGAGATGGGGGCTAGGGGAATGGGGTAAATGAATTTAGCTTTACAAGAGGAAGCCAACAATATTAGCAGCAGCCAAGAATTCTTGCAAAATAGAAGTTATTTTTTCTTTCTTGTAATTCAAGGTCTTGGTGACTTGGAACCCAGGCAAAAGTTGGATATTATCAATGTTTCTGATGAGGCATCAATTTCACTGTTTTTTCTCTGTTTTGTAGAATAAACAGGAAGCCCTGTTAATGGGACATTAGGCTGATCAGAAATTCCAGATTATGCTACTAGGAGTGTAGGTCTGGAGTAGAAGGAAGGCCTTTAGGGAAAGGGGAAGAGGAAGGGATCTAGAGTTGAGATTAGGAGAGATAGAGGGAAGGGAGGATAGAAAAAGAAAGGATGAATGGATGAAGGTAGATAAGAACACGTGCAAGAGATTTTATATATGTATGTGCATGTGTATGTATGTAGATAGATAGATAGATAGATAGATAGATGATAGATAGATAGATAGATAGATAGATAGATAGATAGATAGATAGATAGATAGACAGAGGGGGAGGGAGAGAGAGATATATATGATGGATGGATGAATGGATGATAGACAGAAGATGGATGAAAGATGATAGGTAGTAATAACAATAGCACTTATATACCGCTAAGTGGTTTACAGAGTCAGCCTCTTGACCCTGACAATTTGGATCCACATTTTACCCACCTCAGAAGGATGGAAGGCTGAATCAACCTTGAGCCAGACAGAATCAAACAGCTGGCAGTGAGCAGAATTAGTCTGCATTACTGCCTTCTATCCGGTAGGTAGGTAGGTAGGTAGGTAGATAGGAAGGAAGGAAGGAAGGAAGGAAGGAAGGAAGGAAGGAAGGAAGGAATAGCACTTATAAACTGATTCACAGTGCTTTACAGCCCTTTCTAAGTGGTTTACAGAGTCAGCCTCTTCCTCCCCTCAATCTGGGTCCTCATTTTACCGATCTTGGAAGGATGGAAGGCTGGGTCAACCTTGAGCCTGGTGGGATTTGAACTGCCAAATTGCAAGGATGGATAGAAGATGACTGAGAACCAGAAATTAGAGAGAAATTATATAAGGAGGCATGGATGAATGGGTGGACAGACAGATCCCATACAAATGAAATATCTTTATTTTTAATCTTTATGATTTATTAAATTTATTGGCTGCTCATCTTATCACAGGGTAACTCCGGGCAGTTTACAATATTAAAAAGGGTTCTTACAGTATTTTGCAAGATCGGAAGATGAGGTGAAATCTGGCCCCTGTAACTGAATGGACAGCATCATCATCACAATAATTTGGGGTCCTCCTTCATTCTGAAAATTGAGAAGCTGTCCTCAGAGCCCCAAATTTAAGAAGCGCCCTTCTCAGCCATTTCCCCGTGGAAGCAAACTCCCCAGAAGTTTTTCTCCCAGATAGTTTTAACTCTTTACCCAGAAGCGTACATTGATTTGAGCTATGATTTTTCAAAAGAGATTGGATAGCCGTATGTCCAGAATGGTACCAAGGACATTCCCACAGGTGGCCGGAGGGAGAAAGAGAGATGTTACCAGACAACGGGACAACACCTTGATTGGACCACGTGATGGATTGTTTGGGAAAGGGGAAAAACGTTTATTTTTAATTAAGGTGAAAAACACAGGAACATTAAGAGTCGGTTTTCACTAGCCTGTGCCAATATGATATCTATATCTATATCTATATCTAAATCTATCTATATCTATATATCTCTATCTATCTATCTATCTATCTATCTGTCTGTCTGTCTGTCTGTCCGTCTGTCCGTCTGTCTGTCTAAAAGTGAAATATCCTTCATGCATCATCATAAAATCTCCAGAACAGTCAAGCCTGCAAACTTGAAATTTGGCATGTATGTTCCTCTTGGCTTCTAGGTACTCGCCAAGAAAGGATTTTTCAAAATTACCATCAGAGCTATTAATATTTCCTATATTATTATTATTAACACGCTCTAATGCTAAAGGGTTCTACTCCCCCTCCCCACCTGAAAAGAAATCTGTTCCAAATGCAAAACACAAGCAGAGGAGAGGAGTTTCAATTTCAGTTTTACAACATCAAGCAGCTTTAGTACAGAACAGTTGAGCTAAGCCATGCCCAGGCTCCTTGCTATCTCTTCCTTGCTCACACAGCAAATGCTCTTTCAGTTTCCAAACAGCCCTCAACTCTCTCACACATTGACAGGATTCTAGCCAGATGAATACCGATGGATGCTGGTAGGCAGAGGCACAATTTTCCTCTCTTATTTTCCTCCCTCATAGCAAAGCACAGGTACAGAACTAGTATCCAATACAACTATTATTTGAGGAACCCACGTTCCTCAGGGTTTTGTTTGCTACGGGTGTATTACTTGAAACCCTGACATTAGGGTCTCCTGCTTGTGCAGGGGGTTGGACGAAGACCTCCAAGATCTCTTCCCAAGTGTGTTATTCTGATGCTTGAGGGGCCAGTTTCCTTCCCGGGGGATGGACTAGATAGCTTCTTAGACCCCCATGCCATCTCCGTGCTCCTCAAAATTTGCTACAAGGAGGGGGGTGGGCGGATTTGAGCAGTAT